GAGGAGGATTAGCATGGATGTTAGCTCAGGGCTGATCTTCCTCACAAAAAAATAAAAAATAAAAAAATAAAAAATAAAAAAAATAAAAGTTTTAACAAAACCAATATAGATCACTCTTGTATAACAGCAGCATAAAGCAGGACATTACAGACTTCCTTTTTCCAAAGATATGGGTTTAAGTTTCTCAGTGCAAGATACGCTATAATGTTAGCATGTCCTCTCATTAGTGAAGTTCAGAAGAATGTTTACAGGGCATGGCCGTAAACTAATAAGATGACTGTACATGTTCCTTGTACAAGTGGCCTCATTAAGTCATAGTCACATTTCCTATTAAGGATTAACTAGTGAATGACACGTCAGAGGTTTTCTAACACTCTGATGAGTCCTAGAGAGGTTCCCAAAAGGGAAGCAGAGGGGTCAGGGTTACCCATCCCACTTATCAAGCAGAGCAGCCTCTTCATTGTTTTCCACATTGGGTTTTTCCTTAAGATACTATTTGAAGGAAAGATTCCAGTGTTTTTTTTTTAAAAGTACTGACTGAAAACCACTGTAGTACATATATGTGTCCTCACTTCTTCAAAGTAGGTTTTTTAAAATCTTTGCAGGTCAGCCAACATCATTATATAATTTAGATTATTTCTAAATACAGGCATAGAAATGCCAGGGGGCTCTCACTCTACACTTGGTTTATGAGTTTTCTTATTTTTCCAGGCTCAATTGAACCATCTTAGTAATTCCCATTTTACAGAGTAGGCACTATAACCACACATTGAGAAACAAGTGACTTGTTTCAGATGACAGACAAAGCATGAGCAGGGTCCAGACATGAAGCCCTACCCCAGGTAGCTCAGCCTGCTGGATGGTGCCTCGTTTGAAAAGCCTTGGTGCCACATGGTCATTCCTTGCACAGTGACCTGAAGGTACAGATGTCTCTACTTATGGTGCACGCCAACACTTGAGCTCGCTATAGGCCAGTAATGTTTGGGACTTGTGCTGGCTGAAGGGCAAAGATTAGCCTCTCTTCCTCCTATGCTCTAGATTATCCCTTGATGGAAAACCCTTTCTGGAGGCAACATATGGTACAGTAGAAATTATAAAATATGAAACAGATGACCTGGGTTCAAACCCTGGCTCTATCTATGAGTATCCCCTTCATGCCTCAACTCTCTGGGCCTCAGTTTGTTCAATGTACTTAACTCATGGGCTATTAGGAAGACTAAATGAGACAGTGCATCAGTTCCCATCCTGTGGGTTACAGACCTCTGGCCATCTTTGACCACATTACAAGAGGTCTGAAAAAGCAAATACTAGAAGAAAAAGAATCATTTAGGGATTAAGACTGAAAGTCCTTGAGTAAAATCATCTGGGTTCAAATAAGGGTTTTATCACTGGAGCAATTTACTTAGTTTTTCTATATCTCAATTCCTCAACTGTACTTGGAGAAAACAGTACATACTTTATTGGGTTATTGCGAGAACTGGTTGAGTCTATATATGTAAAGTGTTTAGAACAGTGCCTAGCATAGTAAGAACTCAATAAACATTAGCTATTGTTACTATTATATGTGTTTATGTATTCTTTCAAAGTACAACTATTATCATGTTGGTGTTTGCCAAGTTCTTTATGTTAAAAAAAGGGGTGTCACACGTGAAGGGGTTAAAAACTTCTAAGATAACAGTTGTAAAAAAGTCCAGTACACTACCTGCCATGTCCTAATCCACAGTAGATATATCTGTGACTTCAATCTTTTTAAATTTATTGAGGCTTGTTTTGTGGCCTAAGATATGGTCTATCCTAGAGAATGTTCCATGTGCACTTGAGAAGAATACGCATCCTGCTGTTGTTGAGTGGAGTGTTCTGTATATGCCTGTTAGGTCTAATGGCTTATAGTGTTGTTCAAGTACCCTACTAGGTATTGATCGTCTATCCTGTCGTTCTATCCATTACTTAAAGTGGGGTATTGAAGTCTCCAACTTTACTGTAGAACTCTCTCTTTCTCCCTTCAATTCTGTTATTTTTTAATTGATGTCCTAATAGTTTATAACATTGTGAAATTTTAGTCATACATTATTGTCTGTCAGTCACCATAAAAATGCATCCCTGCACCCCTTGTGCCCACCCCCCACCCCCCTTCCCCCTGGTAACCACCACACTGTTCTCTGTGTCTGTGTGTTAGTTTATCTTCCACATGTGAGTGAAATCATGCGGTGTTTGTCTTTTACTTTCTGGCTTATTTCACTTAACATGATACCCTCCAGGTCCATCCACGTTGTTGCAAATGGGACGATTTTGTCTTTCTTTACGGCTGAGTAGTATTCCATTGTACATATATATATATCTATACCATATCTTCTTTATCCAATCATCAGTTGAGGGACAACTGCGTTCAATTCTGTCAGTTTTTACTTCATATATTTTGGGGCTCCTTTGTTAGGTACATATATGTTTATAATTATTTTATCTTCTTACTGTATTGAAACTTTTATCAATATATAATGTCCTTCTTTTGTCTCTTGTAAACTTTTTTGATTTAAAGTCTATTTTGTCTGATTTGTAATAGCTACCCCAGCTCTCTTTTGGTTATCATTTGCATGGAATATCTTTTCCATCCTTTTACAGTCAAGTGACACTTAACGACGAGGTTACGTTCTGAGAAATGAGTCATTAGGCGATTTCGTTGTTGTGTGAACATCATAGAGTATACTTACAAAAACCTAGGTGGTGTAGCCTACTACATACTTAGGCTGTACAGTACTAATCTTACAGGACCACTGTTGTACATGTGGTCCTTCATTGACTGAAACATCGTTATGCAGTACATGACTGTACTTTCAATTTCTTTGTACTTTGTATTTAAAGCGAGTTTCTTATAGGCAATATTTAATAGGAGAATTTAATCCATTTACATTTAAGGAAGGATTTACTTCTGCCATTTAACTATATGTTTTCTGTATGTTTTACATGTTTTTGTTCCTCAGTTCCTCCATTAATGCCTTTTCTTTTTCTTTAATTAATCTAAATCCTACCTGTAAGATTCACTGGAGCTTGGTCTTCCCAGTCAATTGATCACCTCTCCCTCTATTTGAACAGTTTCTGGTGAATATCTCCTCCATGAATCTGTCCTAAAATGTTTAAAACGGAGGACCTACCTTTTCTGGCCATGAAAGTAGTCTCAGGTTCGATCCCTGTTTTCACTCTCTGAATCACCTGCCTCTACAACACACACCCAATATACACTATTCACCATTTATACATAAAGTTCATTATTACTATCTGTTCTCTACCTACATGTGGCCTGGGTTAGGCTGGACCCTAGAATACTTAGGTAGGTTCTCTTGATGACTGGCAGTCAAAGAAGTGAGAGGCAAAGTGGCTTACATTGTAGGAGCGGGGGTGCCTCTGCTTCCATTGCACCAGGAGCAGCTGGGCCACCACCAAGGTAGCGATGAGGATGAGGACCATTTCAGCGTGCATGGCTTCGTGGCCGCGGTGCTTGGCATGCATGCGTGCGTGCTCAACCCTGAAAGCCAAACAGATGGAGTGAGCCAGGTCAGGAATGGTGTGGTGGTGGGGCAGTGCTTTCCAGAAATATCCCTCCAGTCCATAGCTCAGAACATACTCATGCTTTGCAGTTGCAGGGTACTGCACAAATTAGAAGCTAGAAGGACACACGCCCTAGAGGAAAGGCATTTCGGGATAGAAAAGAGGCTCTGTGGGTCCCAGCCACCAAGCTCAACTATTGGGGTTAAAAGTGGTCTGCTGCCTGCCTCCAATGGCAGAAACAGCTGACACCTTTCCTGTAGCAGGAAAGAGGTCCCAGGAGAAGCCTGTGTCACTGCCCATCTCAGGCCTATTTCAACATATCGCTGGAAGGAGAAAGTAAGCCAGAGAGAAGGTTACAGCCATAAAGCCTCATACTCTTAGTCAATGATATGTATAATACCAATAAAGGAGTAACACTGAAAATATATGCTGATTCCAGGGTTAGAGTCTTGCTTTATTTGTCCTATCCTCTTTGCCAGGACCAGGGATCCTGAAGACTAGCTAAAGCCTGAAAAATATGGACTGCTTCAACTTTAAACTAACCCAACAGTGACTACACCATTAGCATCCACAAGTAAATAGTCTCCTCAAGGGCTCAAGGAGAATACAGCTGGAACTCCTATTTAATCTAAGGCTGGCATTCCCTGGTCCTGAGGATTGGCAGCAAGCAATTCCCTTGGCCGATACAGGCAAAAAGCTTCCTCTAAGAATAAAAAAGAATATAGTCGTCCCTTAGTATCCACAGGGGATTGGTTCCAGGACCCCTGCAGATACCAAAATCCACAGATGCTCAAGTCCCTTAGATAAAATGGCATAGTATTTGCATATAACCTATGGACATCCTCCTGTATACATTAAATCATCTCTAGATTACTTATAATACCTAATACAATGTAAACGCTATGTAAATAGTTGTTCTACTATTGCATTGTTTAGGGAATAATGACAAGGAAAAAAAGTCTGCACATGTTCAGTACAGATGCAACGATCATAGTTCTCTCAATCTGCAGTTGGTTGACTCCATGGATGCGGAACCTACAGATAACGGAGGGCCGACCACAGTCACTCTTACCGCTCTGGGTCAGAGTCAGCCAAGGGAGAGGAACAAGGAAAAAGTTGAACAGAAAACTAAATATAAATGCAGCTGCAGGGCCGGCCCCATGGCTTAGTGGTTAAGTGCGCGCACTCCGCTACCGGCGGCCCGGGTTCAGATCCCGGGCACGCGCCGACGCACTGCTTCTCCGGCCATGCTGAGGCAGCGTCCCACATACAGCAACTAGAAGGATGTGCAGCTATGACATACAACTATCTACTGGGGCTTTGGGGGAAAAATAAATGAATAAAATTATAAATGTAGCTGTAGTCAGGAGCTTTTATACAAATTCACCACACACGGGGATATTAGGGAGGGAGGGAAAGGACAACATAAATGGCATCTTCACGGAATTCCCAAGGGCAATGAGAGACTAACAGCAAGAAGAACCCAGTGGGATGAATTATGGATAGATGAATGATAAAGTAAATATAGCAAAAAGTTGACTGTAGAATCTAGGTGGTGGGTTCTTTCAACTTTTCTGTATATTTGAAATTTTTCATAATAAAATGTTAGGAGGGGAAAGCTTGGCGGGCAGAGTGGGCAGCCAACTGTCAGTCAGCCTGCCAGCCACAGCCCCTAAGGGTTAGTCTTACATAAAACTCTATCCTGGGTGGGAGAATCGGACAAAAAAACAATCGAGTTTAGGAGTCAGAAATGTAGGTCCAGACACACCTATGTGGCCTTGGCCAAGAAAATTCACATCTCTACATGACAATTTCTTCATCTGTCAAAAGGAGTCCAGACTTTTCTGCCTCCCACATAGAGTTGTTGTGAGGATAAGTTAAACTACAAGGGTGAAGAATACTTTAAAAACCTAAGGACTGTGAGGAGTTATAAAGATAACAAGAGATAAGTTTCTTGTTCTCAGACAGTATATAACTGAATGGATGTGCACAACAAGAAATCAAAGAAAGGATCTAGAAAAGGTCAGAGAAGTCATCTAGTTCAAGTTGCCACTCAACGCAAAAATTAGTTTTGAAATCCTTTGTTTGAATACTTCCATTGGCTTAGAACATATGCCCTTAAGGTAATCTATTCTAGAACCAGCAGTGTCTGGTTGTAGGTACTCATTGGACTTACATTGTACATACTCATATGTGCTTATGAAGGAATAAAATTCTAATGTTTTAAGAGGCAGGAAGCTCACTACATCTCAATATACCACGATTATTAAAGATATTTCTGATAATGAGACAAAACCTATCTTCCATAGCTTCAATCCATTGGACCTAATCCTATACTCTGGAACAACAAAGAACATACTCACTCCTCTTTCCTAATGCTGTCCCTTCAAAGATTTACCATGATCTTATTTTAAAAAATAGTAACAAAAACCATCCTATTCCTACCACCTTTTTCCTGGCCCTTTTAGACTAACAGTTCTAGATCTTTTAAACACTATTCATATAACATAATATGAATACCATTAATCCTGTTTTGCCTCCTTTTAGACATTATCTAGCTAAAGATCTTCTTAATATGCAGCGTTTACAATAAAATCAGTGTGGCCTCAGCGAAGCAGAGCACAGTGGCACTGTCACCTCCCCTAAGGCAGACAGTATATTTTATGAACATCTTCCAAATTACATGGAATATTTTGGTAGCTGAGGTACACAACTGGTGCATAATAAGCTTAAAGTCACCTAAAATCTCGCTGAGGTTGTTGTATGAGTTGGTATCTTTGCCACTGTATATTTTTATAATCAATAGTTTTAATCTAAATGAAGGGTTTTTTTCCTATTAAATTTTACTTGGTTGATTTCAGCTCATTGGTCAGCCACCTTGTGAAGTTTGTGGGGCAAGCACTCGGATACTCCTTTACTGATGAGAAATCATGACAATAAGATATTTGTTGACTCACTCTAGTTACAAAGCAAGTTAGCAGCAAGCTGAGATCAGAAGACACATCTCTCATTTTCTCAACCGGAGCTCTCTAATCTGTTTCATGGATAATGATGATGATGATGTTAATGATGATAACCATCTTCAAAGCAGATAACACTTACTGGAAGCTTACCACATGCTAGGCACTGTTCTAAGAATTTCACATATATTAATCCTCACAACAACTCTATGAGGTATCGGTACTGTTGTGATCCTCATTTTACAAATGGGGAAAACTAAGGCAGTGAGAAGTTAAGCAACTTGCCCAAGATCACATAGCTAGGAAATGGCAGAACTAGTATTCAAACCCAAAGGGATGATTTGGTGCAATTACCTATTTACTCCACAAAACTGAGGGAGCTAACCAGGAGTGACCCAGGTACTGGAAAAAATTCTAAAAGACTTGTCCTACTGGTCATGAGTCACTGCCTTTCACAGACAAGGAAGCAAAAGGGGTAGATATACAACTCTAGTTGGATTAACCTACAGTTCCCAGCCTGAGGGGCCCGCATTGTCACACTTACCTCCATTGCTCCTCTGGGGAGAGGTCTGACATATCAACCTGTAGAAAGATACCACCAGAAAAATCCATTACTGTCTTAGAACTGTCCCTGCCCAACATAAGGTGCTCACACATTCAGCAACATCTTCAAGAAATCACGGGAAGATTCAAGTATCACAATCTCTATGAAGCCTTCCCCAACACTATTTCCCACTGATCTCTCCCTTCTCTAACCACTTACTCTGGCTCATGTTTATGACTGACAGTGTGTTGCATGTCTGTGCTAGGCAATGAGGACAGAAGAGTGAACCTAACTCCCAAGATGCTCACAGCCTAGTGAGGAAGACAGACATATAAACTGAAAATTTCTTTATTATATGCTGAAGACTAGCTATGGAAGAATAAACAAGTGGCTTCTAATATAATCTGAGGTGTTAAAGATTAGTGAAGACCTCCTGGAGATGTGAAATATTACCCAGATGAAGAAATGAGAGCAATATCTTCCAGGCAAAGGGACTAACATGAACATGAAGGAATCAAGTTGCATAGCATACAAACAATTGAGTACAGCTAGAGCAAAAACTGTGGATAAGGATTAGTGGGAGATAAAGCTGGATAAAATATTCTGCCATATAATGCCATTTGACACTAAATGGCCCCATGGTAGCAGGCACAACAATAGACTAGGGTGAACTGAGTGTTAGTCCCTGCTCTGCTATTAACTAGCAGTATGCCCTTTCAACCTCAAAGCTCTGGTTCAATTTGTTAGTCTTGTCCTTTTAGAGCAGAGTTTCTCAACCTTGGCACTACTGATATTTTGAGCTGGTTACTTCTTTGGTTTTTTGGGTGGGGAGCTATCTGCACATTGTTGGATGTTTAGCAGAGTCCCTGACCTCTACTCACTAGATGCCAGTAACATCCCCACAGATGCAATAACCAAGAATGTCTATAGACATTGTCAAATGTCCCTGGGGGGACAAAAATTGCCCTCAGTTGAAAACCACTGCTCTAGGATAATACTAAACTATTTGATTTCAGGGCTCAAGTCTTCTACTTCCTTGTCACCATACAGAAGCATAACCAAGTCTCAGTACATAAAGTCACTCAATACATTCTCACATTGACCTGAGCTGAAAATGTTCCTTGATCTAGAGAAGAGAGACAAGGCCTCAGAATCACTCAAATGAATCAATCAACACATATTCCTTTAGTACTTATGATGCTCAAGGCCTAGTTTCCCACTATTCCTATGATAACTTCAGAGAAGTATCTTAAGTGGAACGTTTGAAGTAAAACGGGCAGAACTCCATTCTACTACTGAGTCAAATCAGCACACAGTTACCAGGCATCATTTATGTGTGTATACTAGGGACACCTATCACTATTTAGGTTGGGCTTTCTGGTTTCTACATGTCTCAGCTCAGTAAAAACAAAAACAATATTCCAAGGCTTCACCCAGCCAATCAGGATAATGAAGTCAACCACCCTCCTCCCTTTTCCTACTTCACACATTGCCTCACAGAATTTATTCAGGTGTCCTGACTCAGGCCTTCATCTCCCAGGGCAGAGGTCTCCTCTGAGAGGGAACAGGTAGATGCAAGAAATGGAAAGGCCCAGCCAGGCAGTGCCTGAGCAGACAACTAAGGACCACATTTCTAAAGGAACAATCAATACACAGGTTTCATGCTACCTCTCAAAACTCTTTTCTTCTTTTCCAACTTGGACCTGCATCTTGCCAAGCCAGTCTGTTCACTGTCCCAAAATACATGGGACTCATTCCTCTCTCTGGGCCTTTGCACACCTCTTCATTCTGCTGGCAATGCCCTTCTCTTTTTTTCCTATCCAAATCCAATTTCTCCTTTGAGAACCTACCTGCAATTTCACCTTCCCTGACCCCCTAGCTTAGTGCATTCGGCCCTCTGCTTCTCTCCTGCATGGATTTTTCTTCTTGCTACTGAAAGTGTCGCCCAAAGACTGGTATCAGCATTATCTAGGTGCCTGTTAGAAATGCAAGATCTCAGGCACCACTCCAGACCTACTGAATCAGAATTTACTTTTTTTTTTTTTTTTTTTTAATTTTTTTCCCCCCAAAGCCCCAGTAGTTAGTTGTATGTCATAGTGGCACATCCTTCTAGTTGCTGTATGTGGGACGCGGCCTCAGCATGGCGGGACAAGTGGTGCGTCGGTGCGCGCCCGGGATCGAACCCGGGCCGCCAGCAGCGGAGAGCACTCACTTAACCGCTAAGCCACGGGGCCGGCCAGAATCTACCTTTTAATAAAATCTCCAGATGATTTGAATGCACATTACATTTGAGAAGCACTGTTCTATACCACCATTCATAGTCTTATGTTATCTTAGACACACTTTCCAAGTGATCTACTTGCTTTTTAAGCCCAGGGCCAGCACCAGGGTGGGGAAGCAAGGGACCTAGGGCTCAAAATTTAAGGAGGCACTCATTTACACGACCGATGCTACACTTGCATGACCTTGGGAGTGAGTGCCTCCTTAAAGTTTGCACCCTAACGCCTTGTTTGTTTCACCCTAGTCCTGGCCCTGCTTATGTCTATCTTGCTCTCATCTCATAAATCTGGAAAATCCAACAGAGCAAGGAGAATATAATGTTTTTGTGTCTTTCAAGGAGAACAGCACAGAGCTTAGCATATATTAAGCACTCAATGAATACTTGTGGAATTGAACAGAATTCTCTCAAATAGGGTAAAACAAATATGCTGACAAACTAGCACTCCACCTGGAGATGCTTAAATGGGAGAGGAAATAAACACTTGAAAAATACGTGATAAGTATCTGGGAAAGAAGTATTCATTTGACACCAGGAGGCACCCAGAAAATCATGTTTAAAAAACTACATGTCAAAACAAATCAACGCAACACAACTACATGTTCAAAGCAGCAAGCAAAGCCCACTGAAGGGAACACTAGGAAGATCCAGAGAACTGGCCAGGCGTGAGGGCGCCCCTCCATGAGATAGTGGTCAAGCATTCTACTGTCCATGCCTTAGTTTCTCCATCTGGAAAATAGAGAATAAGACTTCTGACTTCATTGTGGGGCTATGAGGGTAAGTGCATTCAAGGCAACCAAGTGATTTCGTTGCCTTTGCTCCTGGGAGAGTGGGAGTACTTTATAAACTACTAAGAGAGGCTAGGGAGCTGAATGTTGGTAAAGCATGGGATAGTAATGCTTTCAGAGCTTCAGGTAAAACAGCTCAGGAGGGTAAGCACTAAGGCTGAGACTAGACCTGGGGCTTAGAGGACCATTTAGCACTTCATGGAGTAGTACAAATGCTAAGAGTAAAGACATGGCGTGGCTTTAATATTTGCCTTTCGAACCAAAAGATTATTTAAATTTCATCTAAACCAGTCTTCTAGCTCAAGGGGAAAAACAAGAAAAGCTGTAAGCTATAGCTATAATCAACCTGCACCATCTGGAAATACATCTTTATTTGCTCCCTCATTAACGAGTTTATTCATCTGGGGCCAAGCAATAAGCCAGTCTGAAGGTGCCCTGTCCAGATCTCAGGTAGCTAATTAGGTAGACTCTCAGAGCAAGGTTACAGATTGATGGGCCCATATCCAACTCCTAAGACCCACACACAGAATGTTTTCTTGCCAATCACTCCCTTCCTAGGATCTCACAAGGCCCCTAGTCATGTCAGTCTACCTAAGTCCAGATTTGAAAGAAGTTAAATCAAAAACGTCAGGCAGCGGGCAAGAGAAAATTCAACAAGAATGGCAAATGGTCAGAGGTTGACTGTTATATTTTCTCAGGTGCAAAAGACTCAGGGACCCACCAGAGTAATCCCACAAACAGGCCTCCTGTCTCCCACAAATACTGGATACTCTTTGTCTCTGAGTCTTTACACAGGCTGGTTACTTTGTCCCTTAAGCCCCTCTCTTCCACCAAACCACATTCTGCCTTCCTGCAAAACACTGGCCAAATCCTCTTGGCTCCAGGAAGGCTCTCTAGACTGACCCTACTCACTGAAGAAACAAACATTCTCTACTGCCTTACTAAGCATGGTCCACAGCCCAGCAGCATCAGCACCCTGAGAGCTTATTAAGAAAGAGAAAATCTCGCGGGAGGTCAGCCCAGTGGCCTAGCAGTTAAGTTTGCATGTTCCGCTTCAGCAGCCTGGGGTTCATGGGTTCGGATCCCGGGCACAGACCTACACACTGCTCACTCATCAAGCCATGCTGTGGGGGCATCCTACATATAAAATAGAGGAAGACTGGCACAGAGGTCAGCTCAGGGACAATCTTCCTCAAGCAAAAACAGGAAGATTGGCAGCAGATGTTACCTCAGGGACAATCTTCCTCACCAAAAAAAAAAAGAAAAAGAAATACAGAATCTCAGACTCCATCCCAGACCCTCTGAATCAGAATCTGCATTTAATAAGATACTCAGGTAATTCATATGCACATTAAAGTTTGAGAAGCAATGCTACTGCATGCCAGCACTCACATTCACAGTTTGTCCTCCAGTCATATACCTCTATGTACCTGATTCTCTTTTAATAACAGCTTTACTAAGATCTAACTCACATACCACAAAATTCACCCATTTGAAGTGTACTCTTCAGTGTTTTTTAGTGTATGCAGAGTTGTGCCACCATCACCACTATCTAAGTTTAGAACATATTCACTACCCCTGAAAAGAAACCACATACCAGTTAGCAGTCACTTGCCATCCTCCCCAGGCGAAGGAATCACTAATTTACTTTCCGTCTCTACCTACAGATTTGCCTATTCTAGACATTTCATATAAATGAGACCATACAATACATGGTCTTTAGTAATTGGCTTCTTTCACTTAGCATTAGTGATTGGCTTCTTTCACTTAGCATAACGTTTTCAATGTTCATCATGTTGTAGCACGTATTGCAGTTCATTCCTTTTCACTGCCAAATAATACTGCATCATACGGATATATCACATTTTATTTATCCATTCATCAGTTGATGGACATTTGGGTTGTTTATACTTTTGGGCTATTACAAATAATGCTGTTATGAACATTTATCTACAAGTTTTTATGCAGACATGCTTTCATTTTT